ACAGATTCTCGATTGGATTCAGGTCTGGACTTTGACTTGGCCATTCCAACACCTGGATATGTTTATTTGTGAACCATTCCATTGTAGATTTGGCTTTATGTTTTGGATCATTGTCTGTTGGTAGATAAATCTCCATCCCAGTCTCAGATCTCTTGCAGACTCAAACAGGTTTTCTTCCAGAATGGTCCTGTATTTGGCCCCATCCATCTTCCCATCAATTCTGACCATCTTCCCTGTCCCTGCTGACGACAAGCAGGTCCAAACCATGATGCTGCCACCACCATGTTTGACAGTGGGGATGGTGTGTTCAGTGTGATGAGCTGTGTTGCTTTTATGCCAAACATATCGTTTTGCATTGTGGCCAAACAGTTCAATTTTGGTTTCATGTGACCAGAGCACCTTCTTCCACATGTTTGGTGTGTCTCCCAGGTGCTTGTGGCAAACTTTAAATGACACTTTTTATGGATATCTTTGAGAAATGGCTTTCTTCTTGCCACTCTTCCATGAAGGCCAGATTTGTGCAGTGTACAACTGTTTGTTGTCCTATGGACAGACTCTCCCACCTCAGCTGTAGATCTCTGCAGTTCATCCAGAGTGATCATGGGCCTCTTGGCTGCATCTCTGATCAGTCTTCTCCTTGTTCCAGATGAAAGTTTAGAGGGACAGCCGGGTCTTGGTAGATTTGCAGTGGTCTGATACTCCTTCCAGATCAATATGATTGCTTGCACAGTGCTCCTTGGGATGTTTAAAGCTTTGGAAATCTTTTTGTATCCACATCCAGCTTTAAACTTCTCCACAACAGTATCTCGGACCTGCCTGGTGTGTTCCTTGGTCTTCATGATGCTCTCTGCTCTTTGAACAGAACACAGAGACTATCACAGAGCAGGTGCATTTATATGGAGACTTGATTACACACAGGTGGATTCTATTTATCATCATCAGTCATTTGGGACAACACTGGATCTTTCATAGATCCTGACTGAACTTCTGGAGTGAGTTTGCTGCTCTGAAAGTAAAGGGGCCGAATAATATTGCACGCCCCACTTTTCAGTATTTTATTTGTTAAAATAGTTTGACACATCCAATAAATTTCATTCCACTTCACGATTGTGTCCCACTTGTTGTTGATTCTTCACAAACAATTAAAATTTTATAGCTTTATGTTTGAAGCCTGAAATGTGGCAAAAGATTGAAAAGTTCAAGGGGGCTGAATACTTTCGCAAGGCACTGTACTATTTGCCGATGATACAAACATTTTTTGTGTTGGAGATGACATGGAACAACTGTTAAATTATGTAAATGATGAATTGAACATACTTAAAATGTGTTTTGATAAAAAAATAAGCTGTCCTTGAACCTAAACAAAACAAAAATAATGTTATTTGGGAACTATCAATCATACACAGAAATTCAAATACAAATAGATGGGGTGAATATTGAAAGAGTTCTTGAAAACAAATTTCTAGGTGTCATTATTGATGATAAACTCAACTGGAAACCACACTTCAGATATGTTCAGTCTCAAAAAATATTGCCCTCTAAACAAAGTCGAGTTGGTCATAGAACAAAAAGCATTACATGTACACTACTGTCAGCTAATCTTACCTTATTTAAGTTATTGTGCAGAAATCTGGGACAATAATTACAAACAATACTATAAAAAAGAGCAATAATAATAATAATCCATAATCCAACATTTTTCAGTCATGGTCATCTGGACAGTTTTTTTATTGTGCTGAAACGTTTCGCCTTCAATCCGGAAGGTTTCATCAGTCAAGGACACACACAACACAAAACTGATTCTTCCCCCAACAGCTTACTCCAAAGTGGAACAAACCAGTTATGTTGGTGCTAAGATGGTCTCTTTGGCAAAAACACCATTTTAGCCTGACCTGACTGAAAAACATTGGATTGTATACTTGGATTATTGAGCATGGACTTTGTTGTTTTCAACCAGTTTGACACGACTGTCAACAAGGAAGAAGGCCGGCAATGGAGGAGAGGGCGTGACAAACAGACCATCTTAGCACCTACATAACTGGTTTGTTCCACTTTGGAGTAAGCTGTTGGGGGAAGAATCAGTTTTGGGTTGTGTGTGTCTTTTACTGATGAAGCCTTCCGGATCGAAGGAGAAACGTTTCAGCACAAAAAAAGAAACTGTCCAGATGACCTGACTGAAAAATGTTGGATTGTATACGTGGATTATTAAGCATGGACTTTGTTAATAATCCATAATCCACTTGTCTGTAGTACCTTTTTTGACCATTTGATGGCAGTATAAGTCGGTTTGAACTGAAGGATATATGTATGTATGTATATACTATATATATACACACAAACATATATATATATATATATATATATATATATGGTGGCACAATCCACCAGCTGCCACTGAGCTCTGCTCAAACTTTGTGAATTAAGTTAATGACAGTTTTGTACATCCTTATGGACTGTACTTATATAGCGCCTTTCTATCTTATTTCAAGATACTCAAAGTGCTTTACATTACAACCTGTGTCCTCATTTACCCATTCATACAGCTCTATACTAGATCTCTACAAAGATAATTGAACAAATCATTCTAATGAGACTAATCAGTGCTTTAGACCACATTCATACACTGATGGGACACACATTAGAGGCGATGAGGGGTTCAGTGTCTTGCCCAGGGACACTTCAGCATGTGACTGCTGGTGGATTTGAACCCCCAACTCTCGCATTGGAGGACAACTGCTCTAACCACTCAGCCACAGCCGCCCAACATCCTGCAATATGTTGAGCTCTCACGCAAGATGCTTTTGTGTTTGCAGCAGTTGATTCTCGTCATTTTCTGTTTATGTTTCGTTTTTTATTTTTTATATAATTTCTTCCATTTACGTTTCATTTTAAATGCATTTTTAAATGATTGTCTACTGTTGTCTTCTGGATTTTTTATTTACATTTGTAAAACAGGTCTCTCTTTTAAATGAGTCCTCGAGAAATGAAACTAACCTGCACAAATAAACGTTGAATTGAAGAAAAAAAGTGCCGCCACACCAAATTTAGTTTAAGTGTTGAACTGACTGTGCCATAGCCAAGTTTGTTTCGGCTAAGGCTAGTTAGCTGTAGCTGCCATTTTGAATTAAGTTGGCTCCAAATGTCAGTGAGTCGTATATGTACTGATGTAATGATTTCTGTTTGAGTGTTAAATTTAAATATGACTTGTGGTTCAAAAGAGTTTTGCAAATAGACAAACAACATTGACTCCTAAATGTTTAAGTAAAGTGTGAAGCAAAAACATTACACAGTGTCTAATGCTTGGAGTATGTGTTGAGCATGACTTCCAGCTACTACCACACCAAATTCTAGCTCAATATATTTAAAAATGACTGAGTTACAGCCGTTTCCTTGTGTCCTTTGGCTGTGGCAACCTCCTAAAATTAGATTAACATCAAAATTGGATGAGTTGTGGATGTACATGATTACTGGTTTGTAGTTTCATTTAAATCTGTCAAGTAGTGGGGGAGTGGTGGTACAGAGGCTAAAGAAGGTGGACCTGATCGGAAGGTCGCCGGTTCAACTCCCCAGATTGACAACATTAAAAAAAAAGTGGGTGGGAAAGTGGAACGCCCACACCTGACTCCACCCTCTTTTGCCTCACCCTGAGCCCTTAAGCAAGGCCCTTAACCTCCACCATCTGCTCCCCCAGATGCCCTAGGTAGCAGTTCTTTGACCCACACAGAGGGCTGTGGTACAGGTGGCTGTGGTAGCTCAGTGGTCTGAGGCGGCATCAAGAAGGGCATCTGGTTAAAAACAATTGCCAAGTCTTCGTGCAACTTAGTTTGCTGTTGCAACCCCCGAGGAAGGGAACAGTCGGAAGAAGAAGAAAATAATCATTTAAATCTGTCAAGTGTTTCTAAAATGAATTGCTAGCAGACACAATTGACTCCAATAGTTAATGGTTAAACTTTAAAAATATACTGTATATATTGTGTGGTCAGTTAGTGCTCTTGGACATGTTTACTGGAATGATTCTCAGCCGATGGACTTGCGACCCGTCCAGGGTGTACCCCGCCCCTCGCACAGTGATTGCTGGACATGGGCACCAGCGACCCCTGTGACCCAAAATGGAATAAACGGGTAAAGATAATGGATGGATGGATTCTCAGCCTTATCTTCACCAAATTTTAGTTCATTGTCTGAAAAAAGAAAAACTAGCTGAATTATACAAATTCTTTTTTTTTGTTGCTAAGTTTACTTAATTCACACATGAATCTGAGCAAAGCCAAAATCACTCATTCACTTTTGGTCGTGGACAATACATGAAAGATAGAAAGAGAATAACAGCAAATAGAAGAAGATATGAATGTGGCATTGAAGGAAACAAAAAAAGGTTAAGGGAGTAAAGAAGGACAGAAAAATGTTGGTGTGAGTGGAACACAAAAGAGAGAAAATGTAAAAAAAAAAATGTCATAGAATAATGGGTGAGGGTGGAAGTGAAAGACAGTTTGAAAAAAAAGAGGAGGAAGCTGATAAACATGTAGGTGGAATATAAAACATATAAATTAACAAGAAAAACTTAAAATAAATGTGAGTTTAACAGGAGGGGGAGCTTATAAAAGAGTGGTTAAAAAATAATATTGCAAATAAAATGAAAAGAAAGTTCTAATTAAGGAGGAAAAGGAATGAATAAAGCTGATGAATAACAAAGCTTTAGTGATGAGGATCCTGATATATGTTCCCTCCTCAGGGCTTCCTGTTCAAACCTAAAAAAAAAACCATCAGTTAGCCCTACAATTACTCTGTTTTAAGATTCTCATAACCTGACACCCGTGAGTCATGAGGAGATCAACTTCAAACATGATTTGAATAATTACAACCATTAGTATAATTGTTGTTTCACTGTCTTTCATCAAATAACATCAGGACACTGCCCCCTACTGGCTGAAGGCGTCATTACACAGAAACACAGAGTCTTTCTGACACCATTCTGTTGCTGAATCTGTTCTGTTTTCCAGGAGGTGGATCAGTGGTCCTTTGATGTCTTTGCCTTCCATGAGGCCACCTCAGAACACGCCCTCAAGTTCCTGGTCTACGACCTGCTCACCCGCTATGACCTCATCAACAGGTTCAGGGTACACACACTTTCATTCTATTAACAGCTGCAGACATGTCAGATGGACGAGCAGATCTGTGTGTGAAATGGGCTCACACTGTAAATCTGTGATTCTTTTTTGTTTTGTTACCCAAGATTTAAAAAAAGCCATAAAACATTGAAGTCCTTATACTTATGACAATAAATTACAACTTATAAATATGTTTTTTTATTAATTTATTAACACGTATAAACTTAATTCAAGGGCAGCACGGTGGTGCAACTGGTAGAGCCGCTGCCTCTCAGTGAGCAGGTCCCTGGTTCAAATCCCAGTCCGGGGGCCTTTCTGGGTGGAGTTTGCATGTTCTCTCCGTGCATGCGTGGGTTTTCTCCGGGTACTCCGGTTTCCTCCCACAGTCCAAAAACATGCATGTTAGACTGATTGGTAACTCTAAATTGTCCCTAGGTGTGAGTGAGAGAGTGAATGGTTGTTTGTCTCGTTTGTCTCTATGTGTCCCTGTGATGGACTGGAGACCTGTCCAGGGTGTACCCCGCCCCTCGCACAATAATTGCCGGACATGGGCACCGGCGACCCCCGTGACCCAAAATGGAAGAAGAGGGTAAAAGTTAATGGATGGAAATTTAATTCAAGAAACATGGATACATTTAAGCTGTTTGGGGGAAGAATCAGTTTTGTGTTGTGTGTTTCCTTGACTGATGAAGCCTTCCAGATGAAAGGTGAAACGTTTCAGCAACAAACAAACAAAAAAAAAAGAAACTGTCCAGATGACCTGACTGAAAATTGTTGTCTTGAATACCTGGATTATTGAGCATGGACTTTTTTGGTTGGATTAATTTAGTTTAGCCTAAACTTTTTGTAAAGTTTTTTTTTAATTTTGATGAAAAATGTCGTAAATTATTATGTTTTACATCAGGAGAGATTGTTTTGAATCCAAAATAACTTTTTTTTTTTAAATGGGGCTGCGGGGGCATAGTGGTCAGTGCTGTGGTCTTGTAATCCTGAGGTTGCAGGTGCGAGTCCAGATTATCCGTTGCGTCACCACTTTTTGCAACAATTTCAGCTGCAAGTCCCTTTGGGTTCGGCTAGGTCTGATTATCCTCCATCCTTCATGTCCAAACTGCTGCAGCTCTTTCAGGCTAGACAAGTGCCGCTTGTGTCCAATAATCTTTAAATCAGACCAGAGATTCTCAGTTGGATTGAGATACAGGCTTTGATTGGTCCATTCCAGGACATTTGACTGGTTTTCCTTAAACCAATGGAGTGTTGGTGTGCTTAGTGTCATTGTCCTGCTGAAACATGGACCTCTGTCCCAGTCTCGAATCTCTGAAAAACTCCAACATATTTCTCCTAAAATTTTTCTATACTTTGCTCCATCCATGTTCTCTTCAAGTCTGACCAGTTTCCCAGTTCCTACTGATAAATAAACATACCCACATCATGATGCTGCCAACCCCATGCTTCACTGTAATGATGGTGTTCTCGGTATTATTAGAGGTATTGAGTTCGTGTCATATTTTGTGTTGTCCTTGAAGCCAATGGATTCCCTTTCAGTCTCTCCTGAATCTTTTGGCACCTTCTTCCACATGTTTGAGGGAGGGGGTTTTTTTGTTGTTGTTTTTATTAAATATGTATTTTGGCAATTTTTAAATGATCTGCTTTTTCTTCATTGGTGTTTTCCTGACATTTTCCCATGAGTTCCAACTCTTTTCAGCTTATAGTGGCCTTATGGAAAGATCCTTCCATCTCTGCAGAAGAGCTGCAGCTCCATTAGTGTTGTATTTAGCCTCCTGGATGTTTTTATAATTAGTGCTCTCCTTACCCGGTCCGTGAGTTTTGATAGAAGACCTTCTGACAGATTTGCTTTGGTGACATAAGATTTCTATTTTCTAACAACATGTATAATGATGTTTATTAGATGTTCAAGATAAAGTTTTTTTATATAACTAACCTATAGTTCTCAGCAATTTTGTTTCTGACTTATAGACTGTTATAGACTGTTTCTGACTTATAGAGGTCCTTTGTAATGAGCTGGGATTCTTTGGATCGAAAAATCCAGCCAACACACAGAATGAAGCAATTTACAAAATTCATTTTACTGCGGCACTGGGGTAGAGGATCACAGGAGCTATGTGCAGATCTGAAGCAGAGAGAGATGAAAGAGTAACTGAGAAGTTATCCAGTCGGTTGAAGCAGATGTCTGCTCATCCTGAGCCTGGTTCTGCTGGAGGTTTCTTCAATTCAATTCAGTTTATTTCTATAGCGCCAAATCACAAAAATGTTGTCTCAGGGCACTTTACAGGAGCATTCACATACATTAAAGCCAATTAGTAAAGTTCTTTATCTAAGGAATCCAGCAGACAAGTTGAATCTTGGCTTCGATGCAGTCTCCCATCCTGAGCAAGCACAGTGGCAACAGTAGAAAGGAAAAAGTCCCTTTTAAAAGAAGAAACCTCCAGCAGAACCAGGCTCAGGACAAGCGGCCATCTGCTTTGAGTGGCTGGTTGAGAGGACAGGAAGGAGAAACAGACGAACATAGAATGATAGGTCCAGGTATAAGTCCAGGTGTATCTGAAAGACAAAAAAACACACGTTAAGGATAGAAAAAAAATTACAAATACAAAACAGGTTGAGCAGAGTAAGTAAAGACAGTAGCAGAGTGAAAATTGTGGTCAGTTTGTCCTCCAGCAGTCTAAGCCTATAGCAGCATAACTAAGGGACAGCTCAGGAAACCCAAGCTGACCCTAACTATAGGATTTAGCAAAAAGGAAAGTCTTAAGTCTAGTTTTAAAACTGGATAATGTGTCAGCCTCACGGACAGAGATTGGAAGTTGGTTCCACAAGAGAGGAGCCTGATAACTGAAAGATCTGCCTCCCATTCTGTTTTTGTAAATTCTAGGAACCACCAATCCTGTTAAAAGGGAGGTTTTTTTTCTTTCCACTGTTACCAGTGTGCTTGTTCAGGATGTGAGACTGTGACAAAGTGAATATTCAATGCAATCTGCTGGCTTCCTTAGATAACTTTTACTAATGGGCTTTTATAATGATGTGTAGGTTTTTGTTCAGTGTCCTGAAATGTCCTGATGCATGCTCAATAATCCAGGTAGAAAAATCCAAAAAAATTCAATCTGGTCCTCTGGACATTCTAAAAAACAATTATTGTTTTTTTGAATGTCCAGAGGACCAGATTGAACTTTTTTGGATGTCCTGAAATGATTTCTGTTGTGACGGCGCTATAAATAAACGGAATCAAAATGAACAAGTGGCAGGTAGCACAATGTTGTTCAGATCAGGATAGACCATCCTGTCAGGGGATCCTCTAGATGTGTCGGGGACGGGGTGACCCAAGCTTGTGAGGATCTGTGTCCCCCTGTGTGTGTCCCCTTCTTGTGTTCGTCCCTTCTCAGTTATTTTTTCCCTCGTGTAATCAGTCCTTACCTTCATCACCTGGGTGGCTGTGGCAGAGTTGCAGAGCTGTCCTCCAATGTGAGAGATGGGGGTTCGATTCCACCAGCAGCCACATGCTGAATTGTCACTGGGCAAGACACTGAACCCCTCCTTACCTCCAATGTGTGTTCCATCAGTGTATGAATGTGATCTAAAGCTCTGATTAGTCTCTTTAGAATGATTTGTTCAATTAGCTTTGTAGAGACCTACTAGAGTGCTGTATGAATGGGTAAATGAGGACACAGATTGTAGTGTAAAGCACTTTGAGTATCTTGACAAGATAGAAAGGTGCTATATAAGTACAGTCCATTTACCATTAACCTGTTGTCCCTTCCCGGGCGATATCTTGATATTTAAAAAATATTGAGATAATTTCATTTGCAAAATAAAATGAGACTATATCAATATAAACAATATAGTGTTATACTTGAAAGTCTGTCTGCTGTCTTCTTTCTCCCATGCGGCCACTCCTATCCCTCTCAGCCCAGCCCCTCACCCGCTCTCCCTGCTTCCTGCTCCAGGTGGAGTGGCACCGCTGACACGTGTATCCCAGAGCAGAGCAGAGCAGAAAAAAAATGGCTCAATTATTTGGAGATGGTTTAGATTTAATTTGTCAGATGAGCAGCAGAAAAATGTTTTCTGTAGACGATGGCAAAAACAAGTCCCTACGAATGGCTCGAGTACAACAAACCTTTTTCAACTTTTAAAACAGCGCTATAAGTGGAGTATGAAATCTGTGTTTAACTTCCAAAATTTTTCAGTCAGGTCATCTGGACATTTTCTTTTTTTGTGATGAAACATTTCACCTTCAATCCAGAAGGCTTCATCAGTCAAGGAAACACACAACACAAAACTGATTCTTCACCCAACAGCTTACTCCAAAGTGGAACAAACCAGTTATCTTGGTGCTAAGATAGTCTCTTTGGCACGCCCCCTCCTCCATTGCCGGCCCTCTTCCTTGTTGACAGTCGTGTCAAAATGGTTGAAAACAACAAAGTTGTTGAGAGACCAAAGAGACCATCTTAGCACCAAGATAACAAACAACTAATGATAGTCCTATTTTCAGATCCCGGTCCAGGCTCTGGTGCCGTTTGTTGAGTCTCTGGAAAGCGGCTACAGCAAACACAGGAACCCCTACCACAACCTGATCCATGCTGCTGATGTTACTCAAACAGCACACTTCCTAATGCTACATACTGGACTGATGGTAACCCCCCTACACACACACACACACACACACACACATACACACAATGCATGTTTCCCTTATTTAGACAGTAATCCAACAGGAACAGGACATGTATGAGGACAGCATGACAGTGGTGACATGTGCTGTAGGAGTGACAGATAGCTTCAAGCTGGAGATGGGAGTACATCAAGGATTGGTTCTGAGCCCCTTCTTGTTTGCTTTGGTTATGGACCAACTAACATTTGAAGTCAGGCAGGAATCCCCATGGACTATGATGTTTGCAGATGATGTGATCTGTGGTGAGAACAAGGAACAGGTGGAAGAGAACTTGGGAAGGTGGAGCTATGCACTTGAAAGACGAGGAATGAAAGTCAGCCATAGTAAGACAGAGTACATGTGTGTGAATGAGAGGGAGGCCGGTGGAACAGGAATGCTAGAAGGAGTAGAGGTCACAAAGCTGCAGGACTTCCAAGTACTTGAGGTCCACTATCCAAGAAAATGAGGAGTGTGGTGCAGGATGGAGTGGATGGAGAAAAGTTTCAGGAGTGAATTGTTACAAAAGGGTGTCAGCAAAGGTCAAAGGAAAAATTTACAAGATAGTGGTGATCCAGCTATGTTGTATGGGCTGGAGACAGAGACATTGACAAAAATACAGGATAAAGAACTGGAAGTGGCAGAAATGAAGATGTTGAGGTTCTCCTTAGGAGTGACAAGGTTGATAAGATTAGGAATGAGATCATCAGAGGTACAACACAGGTTGAACAACTGGGAGATAAAGTTAGAGAAACCAGACTGAGATGGTTTGAATATGTCCATAGTAGGGACAGTGGGTATACTGGTATAAGGATGTTAGAAATGCAGCTGCTAGGAAAAAGACAAAGTAAGGCCAAAGAGGAGACATATGGATGCAGTTAGAGAGGACATGGAGGCAGTTGGAGTGAGGACAGAGAATGCAGAGGACAGAGTGAGAAGGAGGAGGATGACTCTCTGTGGCAATCCCTGAAGAGGGAAAAGCCAAAATTAGAAGACACTAATCCACACTAAACAGTTATAATATTCTCACTGTAAGACATCAATCAATGTAGTAATGTAGTAATGTAAGTAAACACAGAATAACTTCCTGAGGCATCTGCAGATAGTAACAATTTGAATGAACCTGCAAAGCTGACTGTGTTTGTTGTGTGTGTTCAGCACTGGCTCAGTGAGCTGGAGATCCTTGCAATGGTTTTTGCAGCTGCGATTCACGACTTTGAACACACAGGAACCACTAACAACTTCCACATTCACACCAGGTAACAAACAACAACAAATGTGCAAAAGTAACTTTTTGATCTCTAAGATAATAAATTGTGATATTCTTCAACATGGTCTGTGTTTTAAGTTTGTGTACAAAAATAAATTTTCCTTTCACAGTATTTAGATTTTTTTTTTTTTTTACAAAAAATAAGATCAAAAGCAAATCTGCTGGTAGATTCATAGACATGCTAAAGGTAAAAGTGGAAGTTCAAACATACAGGATTCTTGTAGATGTTTATGCAGTTTATATTCCTATTTCTGACAAGAACCAGTTTTGGATAAGCATATCAACCCCCAACTCAGAAATGGTTTAAAATGATTATTAGGAAATAAACAGCTTCTGGAGTACGTCAGGGTCTGGGCCCGAGTCCGATCTGTCAAGACAGAAGTGTTAGTGAACTTGGCGTGGATAGAGAGGTGAAGATGGGTACTATGGTTATCGCTAACCTTCTGTCTTGATGGAGTAGCAGGTCCTGTTGTCACGCTGGAGCCGATGATGTCACTCATGAAGAGTGAACTGCAGCAGCGGAGCAGACAGCGATTGTACAGGTCCAATAAGGGGAAATCTGGTTCCAAGGTCCAAGAGAAGAAGCAGGGTTCAAGCACGGGGGAAGCAGAGAGCAGAAACAGAGCCAAAAACGTAATCCTAATACGTGGTCGTTGTAGGAGCGCAGAGTCGCTACCGTAAGCAGAAGAGAAAACAAATCCAAGAGGGACAGGCAGGTCGAGGAGTCAAAAACAGGCAATGGTTCAAAACGAGGCAAGAATCAAGACAAGGTACGCTGGATTTCTACTACTGTGAAGGTTAGAGAATCTGGCACTGACTGAATGATTGGAGGGAGCTTAAGTAGGGAGGTGAACAGATGGAGAGCATGAGCAGTGATTGCAGAGTGGAGTTAATTGGATGGCAGGAGTTGAATGGACTAAGGTGAGCACAAAACATGAAAACAGCAGGCAGAGGAGGGAAAAAGGATCAAAAACATGACAGAATCCCCACCTTAAGGTCCGACTCCTGACGGACCACCAGGTTGTTCAGGTGGGAACTGTGAAATTGTTTGATGAGGATTTTGTCCAGAATGTGATGAGCAGGGACCCAAGAACGTTCCTCCGGATGTACCCCTCCCAGTCAATAAGGTAATGGAGTCTCCGACCCCACCGCCTGGAGCAGAGGAGTCGCCTGACTGTGTAAGTTGGGGAGCCATCAATCAGTTGGGCAGGAGGAGGGGGACTGGAGGAGGGTCTTAACTGGGGCTGAAGGAAGGGTTTAAGGGAGGAAACGTGGAAAGTAGAGTGGACTTTAAGGGAGCGGGGCAGTTGAAAACAGACCCCTACAGGGTTGATGACCTTGGTGATAGTGAATGGGCCGATGAAACTGCAAGCCAACTTACAAGACTCAACCCTTAGGGGAAGGTCTTTGGTGGAGAGCCAGACTTTGTGGTCCACCTGATAAGCTGACTGTGTAGATCGACATCTGTTGGCCCCCTTAGTATAAGTGGCTGAGGACTTTATAGCCCCTTATCCACAGGGCCTTTTGGACTCCTATGTAACTAGTTCAGGCCAATTGCGTGGTTTATCCACAATGCCTTCAACGGTGGAACCCACCCCATTTTTGGGACCTACTTCTCTGAGGTCACAGGTCTGGTTCTTGTTGGGTCTAGATGTGACATCAGCGCACTGTAGGTCACTGATTGGTCAGGGGGCGTATTAATTGGTGGAGGGTGAAGATCAAGGAGGTCATCCATTTTGGTTTTGTGTTTGTTTTCTAGCTCTTCTTCTTCTAATACATGTTAGTGGTGCTTAGAAAAGAGCTTAATGTAGCACTAGCGCCACCAGCTGGTAATGTGCGTTGATATTAATAATCCGCCCACTAGAGGTGAACAATCCGCCCACTAAATAAGAACTATGGGCACTGTGTGGAGACAGAAAAAAAGAGGTCCCACCAGAACCGGACACAACAGTGTCCAACAAGAACCGGCTCTGTGGATAAAGAGCTTATGAGAACTCTTCTGGCTCTTCTCCAGGTGTGCTGGCACCTCATGGCTGCTTGGTGGGCAGATGGTACTTGGGCCTCTCTCCCCTGGATGGAAAACAGAGGGGGTTGGAAACCAAAGACTACATAGAATAGGGACAGACATGAAGATGAGGAGGGCAGGGGGTTGATAGCATGTTCGACCCTGGGGAGATTGGCTGACCATTTGCTGGGGTCTCCTTCACAAAGCAGGTAGTGTTTGGTCTCCACTTCTTGGTTGACCCTCTCAGACTGGCCATCAGACTGTGGATGGAACCCCGAGGAGAGACTTTTTGAGATGCCAAGGAGGCTGCAAAACTCCTTCCAAAACTTAGAAATGAACTGAGGCTCGCAATCAGAAACAATGACATTGAGGAGGCCGCGTAGTCTAAACACGGCCTTAGCCATGATTGTACTGAGTTCTTTGGTGGAGAGAAGTTTAGAGAGAGGAACTAGGTGAACTATCTTAGAGAAGCAATCTACAACGGTGAGGATAACAGTATGGCCAGATGAGGGGATAAGACCAGTGACAAAGTCCATTGAAATATGTGACCAAGGGCAAGATGGGACAGGCAAGGGGTGAAGCAAACCAACAGGAAGGCAACGGGAGGATTTGGACTGATTACATGAGGGACAAGTAGTGACGTATTGTTTAACATCCTTGGTTAAGCTTTTCCACCAGAACTGGGATCTGACCACACTAAGTGTTCCAGTAATCCCAGGATCGCAAAACATGTGAGAGTTGTAACAAAGTTCAAGTACCTCTTTAACCTTATTGGTGTGGACCAACACCCAGTCCCTAGGGCAGTCAGATGGAGGAGGTTGGGTCTGGTTGGCCCGCCCGAGGTCCGACTCCAACTGAGTCATAAACAGGCGTACGTGGTCCGACAGGATGAAATCGACCTCAGTCCTGGTCTTGGGGGTACTGTTCTCCTCCATGATGTGAGACAGGGCATCAGGTATGGTGTTCTTGGCTCCTGGTCTGTAAACAATAAACTCAAAAAACAGCAAAAGAACGGGGCCCACCTGGCTTGACGAGGGTTTAAGCATTTGGCAATCCTGAGATACTCAAGGTTCTTGTGGTCTGTCCACACTTGAAATGGTTCCTTGGCACCCTCGAACCAGTGTCTCCACTCCTTGAGGGCCAGTTTGACAGCCAGCAGCTCACATTTGCCCACATCATAATTACGTTCAGCAGGGGAAAGACTCCTAGAAAAGAATGTACATGTGTGAACCCTCCCTTCCCTGCTTCACTGGCTAAGGATTGCTCCCACCCCTGTGCCAGAGGCATCATCTTCAACAATTAAGGAAAACAAAACAAAACAACGAAGGACCTGTTGGGGTCAGGTGCTTGGAGAATAGTGGCTGTAGAAAACAAGCCTTTAAGCTTCTTAAAAACAAGATCAGCAAACTTGCTCCAAACAAATCTGTCTTGGAGGAAGTTAAAGAAAGCAAGGGACTAGAAATAAGGCTGTAGTTCTTGATAAACCTATAGACATTTGCAAAACCAAGAAACCTTTGTAATTGTTTCCTGTCCTTGGGGATGGGTCAATCCAGGACAGCAGAAACCTTGTTAGAGTTCATGGTAACCTGGTTGGGTGAAATAACAAAACCCAAAAAAGATGGGGAGGTCTGGTGGAACTCGAATTTTTCTGCCTTTACAAACAGGTTATTTTGCAAAAGTCTGACAAGGACAGACCTGACGTACTTGCGATGAGAAGATAACTCCTTGGAAAAGATGAGAATATGCAAGTAGACAAAGACAAATTGGTTAATCATATCCCTGAGCACGTCATTATCAAGAGCCTGAAAAAATACTGGTGCATTTGTGAGGCCAAAAGGCATGATCAGATATTTGTAATGTCCATTGGGGGTGTTAAACGCCATTTTCCATTTGTCCCCCTCTCGTATGCGGACCAGGTGAAAAGCGTTTCTTAGGTCCAGCTTAGAGACTATGGTGGCACCTTGGATGAGGGCTAACACTGTGGACATAAGAGGCAGTGGATATTTATTCTTAGTGATCTTGTCAAGTGCTCTATAGTCAGTGCAAGGCCTGAGTGAATAATCGTTTTTGCCCACAAAAAAAAAAACCTGCACCGGCAAGAGAGGCTGAAGGTCTGATGATACTGGCTTGAAGGGATTCTTTTAGGTAATTCTGCATGGCGGTGTGTTTGGGTCTGAACAGAAAATAGAGGCTGCCCCTAGGTGGGGTGGTGCCAGGTATGAGATCAATAGCACAATCAAATGGTCTATATGGAGGAAGGGAAGTGGCTTTAACCTTTTTAAACACCCCCTTGAGGTTGTGGTACTCAATACGGAGTTTAGTGAGGTCAGGATAAGTTTCTTTAATTTTTTCAGGGCTGACAGAAGGCAGAATCGCCTCAAAGAGGCAGGTGGTGAGACATTCCTCCAACCAACCCACTATCTCTTTACCTCTCCAGTTAATATGTGGGTTGTGTTTGTTAAGCCAAGTGTTACCTAGAGCTATAGGGAGCTGAGGAGAGTTAATCACAATACATCTTAAAGTCTCTTTGTGATTACCCCTAGTAACAAAGTGACGGGTGTAGTTCCAAGGTTTGAGTTATGGAGAGAATAACCGTCCAGTGTGAGAACTTTGTGAAATTTGGTAGACTGGAGTAATTTGATGTTCATAGATAGTGCAAATTGATGGTCAATAAATTCAGTATCTGCTCTTGAATTTATGAAAGCTGATACAGATAAAGATCTCTTACCAGGTACTTGAATCTCTGCGGGTATGATGAATGGGGAGGAGATCTTGGGACTACTAGTATAACTCAACAGGCATCTCCTCTTACCTGTTGAGTTTGATCTTTTAAAGGACACTTGGCGACAGTGTGGTTATCTGCTCCATAATAAAAACAGGGGTGCAATCTCCTCCTCCTCTCCCTCTTTTCAGGGGTGAGGCAGCTCCTGCCCAGCTACATGGGTTCTTCCGACTGTGAGGTATTGGAAACAAGTGCCACATAAGTTGTTTTAGAGAACGCTTGTGATTCACCCCAGGGTCCTGGTGTCTTCGCTGCTCTGTGTCCCCTGTCTCGGTCTCTTTCCCAGAGGCGCAGGTCGACACACATTGCCAGGTCCTCCAAGCTCTTGAGAGACTCAGGGTAGTCCCGAGTTGCTAGTTCGTCCTTAATAGTGTCATTAAGACCCTAGAAGAAAGCATCTGTTAAAGCTTCCTCGTTCCAGCGACTTTCGGCAGCTATAGCATGGAACTCTATAATCTATTCGGTGATTTGTTTGTTTCATGTTTAACTGAAAATAGTTTGCGTGCGGCATCCCTCTCTGGCAACAGGGGATCAAAAACTCTGCATAATTATTTAGCAAACTCAGAAAAACTGTAGCAACTTCTGGAGTCTCTCTGTCACTTTGAAGTCCCCATGACTTTGCTTTACTTGCCAGTAAAGAGATGACGTAGGCCACCTGGGCTTGCTCAGTAGGAAAGGAGGATGGCTGGAGCTGAAAGTGAATTTCACATTGTGAGGAACGACCGACATTGATCAGGTTCTTCTCAAAAAAGTGCAGGGGGAGACAAATGAGGTTCATGATAAGGCATAGAAAAATGAGGAGTTGCAGCTTGAACAACAGAAGTATGAGCAGGGTTCAGAGAAGAGCTTTGCTGAGACATTGTTCTTAACATTACCATCAACTCCAGTATTATTATTTTCTTGGACTGTGAGGTCTCAGTTTCTGATAAGAGGACTTTTGCAAACTGAGATGTACCACAAGCCCACCCACACAGACCAGTATTTGCAGTTTGACTCCCATCACCCTTTCGAGCACAAGTTAGGAGTCATCAGGACTCTGTACCACAGAGCAGACAGCGTCCCCACTAACTCAGGAGCCAGGCAGAAGGAGAAATCCCACACAAGACAGGCTCTAGAGTAATTTGGATATCCTAACTGGGCCTTCCTGAAAGCGGAGAAGAAACCCAAACAGGACTCCAGTCAGCCATCAGGTGAAAAGGAGGAACCCAGACCCAGACCAGTGGTCATTTTATTTGTTGCAGGAGTATCAGAGAAACTGAGACGTTTATTTTCTAAACAAAACGTCCCAGTGGCTTTTAAACCCCAAAATACATTACGGCAATGACTGGTTCATTCCAAAGATCCAGTCCCCCAGCACAAACAGAGTAATAATGTGTATGCTGTTAAGTGTCAGGAGGGCTGTGATCAGTCTTACATCAGGGAAACAAAACAGCCACTGGCCAAAAGTATGGCTCAGCACAGAAGAGCAACACCATCAGGCCAGGGCTCTGTGGTCTACACTCATCTCCAGGACAGTGGTCACTCGTTCAGGGATGAAGATGTTCACATCCTGAACAGAGAGGAACGATGGTTTGAGAGAGGAGTAAAGGAGGCCATCTTTGTGAGAAGAAATTGTCCATCATTAAACGGGGTGGAGGCCTTCGTGTTCAACTGTCCCCCTCTTACAATGCTGTCATTGCTAGTATCACTCAGCCCTCTGTGAATAGTAAACAGCCATCAGAGTGCTAATGATCCATCGTTAGGCTGATGGTCCTTCTTGATCATGTGTGCAGCTGGTTTAGGTTGTCAGCAGCAAACTGGTTGAACAACTATGAGAAGGTGCTTTTTATAAGACTGAGCTGAATACAGCACCTCAGACAGAAGAAGTCTTTCGGATGAAAGACGGAACGTTTCTACAATTTTTTTTGTTTGTTTTGCTTTGTTTTGTTTTTTGAATGTCCAGAGGACCAGAATTAATTTTTTTAGATTATTTTCAAGTTTCTCAATGGCTCCCTCTACACCAGAGCACCACTCCTGGGTGGGGGCTGGATCCATAATAGCCAGATTCTACTGACAAGAACTGGTTTTGGATCAACATACCAACACCCAACTCAGAAATGATTTAACATGTTTATTGGGAAATAAACAGCTTCTGGTGCAAGTCAGGGTCTAGGCCTGGGTCCGATTTGTCAAGACAGATGTGTTAGTGAACTTTGCGTGGATAGAGAGGTGAAGATGGGTACTATGATTATCACTAACCTTCTGTCTTGATGGAGTAGCAGGTCCTGTTGTCACGCTGGAGCCGATGATGTCACTCGTTCAATTCAATTCAGTTTATTTATATAGCACCAAATCACAACAATGTTGTCTGAGGACACTTTACAGAAACATTCAAATACATTAAAAAGCTAATTAGTAAAGTTCTCTATCTAAGGAATCCAGCAGACAAGTTGAATCTTGGCTTCGTTGCAGTCTCAACAGTGGTAACAGTGGAAAGGAAAAACACCCTTTTAAAAGGAAGAAGCCTCCAGCAGAACCAGGCTCAGGACAAGGGGCCATCTGCTTTGACCGGCTGGTTTGAGAGGACAGAAAGGAGAGACAGACGAACACAGAATGGTAGATCCAGATATAGGTCCAGGTGTACCTGAAAGACAAAAAAAACAAAAAAAAAACACGTTAAGGATAGAAAAAATAATTACAAATACAAAACAGGTTGAGCAGAGTAAGTAAAGACAGTAGTTAAAAAGTGTGGTCAGTTTGTCCTCCAGCAGTCTAAGCCTATAGCAGCATACTAAGGGACAGCTCAGGAAACCCAAGCCGGCCCTAACTATAGGATTTAGCAAAAACGAAAGTCTTAACCCTAGTTTTAAAACTGGATAATAGGGGTTGAACGACTACATAATTTTTAAACTTGACATTAACATAATAAAACTCGAGTAGAACTCGAGTACATCATAGGATGTAAAAGATACAAAAATAAATAAACAAAACCGCAAAAAAAGGTCATTATTTACAAAAAAAGACCAACAAAACATTGGGAGCATATATTATGCTCCTACCATTTATCATATTGCAAATAAGTCACAGGAAAAACTAAACTATTAGTTTTTATTATTAAGCTGCAAACGTGAAGAAATGTGCAGCACGTCAAAAACTAAACTAAAACCAGTTGGGGGGTCGACCACCCCACACCACCTTCAGCTGTGGTGCGCATTAAGTTTAGTTTTAGAGGTTAATATGTTTATAGATTTTTTATAGGTTTAGAGATTAATATTTTTTGCTTTTTGTTTGTGAAACAAGGTCAGAGGAAGCTGGTTCTGGTTCAGTCGATTGGACCCGGTGTTACACCATATTCTGTGACCTGCAACAGTGCATGCAACACTGCCCCCTACGGTCACAAAATATGGTGTAACATGGTTCGCAACGCGCTCCAAACAGTCATGAAGTTTATTCATTTTCTGTTGCCTTACAGTAGTTGAACCAGAAGATTAATTAGTGAAATATTTCCAGACTATTGGTGCATTTCTACCTGTTTGTCAAGACTGGACCTGCTCTGCTCCATCTGTCTGCTTGGAGGAATCCATTTTGTAACCCGCGCCCGGTGCGGATCACGTGACACGTGACGCAATAACGTAACGGTGGCGTAATGACGACACCATGAATACTCGACATGAAATTAAAAACCTCGATAGATGTCCTAGGAATCGATGTGTAGATTACTCGAGTAGTCTGTTAAAGCCCTACTGGATAATGTGTCAGCCTCACGGACAGAGATTGGAAGTTGGTTCCACAAGAGAGGAGCCTGACAACTGAAAGCTCTGCCTCCCATTCTGTTTTTGTTAATTTTAAGAATCACAAGTAAACTTGCAGCCTGAGAGTAAAGTGCTCTGTTAGGAAAATATGGAACAATAAGAGCTGTAATATAAGATGGAGCCAGGTTGTTGAGAGCTTTGTAGGTTATAAGTAAAATTTTGAATTCTATTCTGGATTTGACAGGGAGCCAATGGAGAGAAGCTAAAACTGGCGCGATATGATCTCTCCTACCAACTCCAGTTAAGACTCAGGCAGCAGCATTTTGGATCAACTAAAGACGTTTTAAAGAAGTATTTGGACATCCAGATAATAAACCATTGCAATAGTCCAGTCTAGATGTGACAGACGCATGAACCAGTTTTTCTGCATCATTTTTAGATAAGATGTTTCTAATTTTAGTGATATTACACAGGTAGAAGAAGGCAGTTCTAGTAACGTTTTTAATGTGGGGGATAAAAGACATGTCCTGATCAAAAATAACACCAAGATTTTTAACATTAAAGCTGGAGGACAGATTAATGCCATCTAAGGAGGGAGAAAGACTGAAAAGTTCATTCCTAAGGTGCTCAGGTCCAAAAACCAAAACCTCAGTCTTGTCTGTGTTCAAAAGGAGAAAATTAAGGGTCATCCAGGTTTTTATGTCTTTAAGACATGCATGTAGTCTAAGTAATTGATTGGATTCATTGGGTTTAATGGACAAATATAATTGTGTGTCATCAGCATTACAATGAAAATGTATCCCATGCTGTTTAATAACTTTACCTAATGGAAGCATATATAATGTAAAGAGTATTGGCCCAAGCACTGAGCCCTGAGGAACTGCATGACTAACTTTGGTGTATGAAGAAGATTTATTATTTACATTTACAAATTGGAATCTATCAGATAGATATGATTTAAACCATTTTAGAGCCGTTCCTGTAATCCCAATATCATATTCAAGCCTCTGTAGAAAAATATTGTGATCAACTGTATCAAATGCAGCACTGAGGTCTAACAGGACCAGTATAGACACAATTCCATTGTCTGAGGCCATGAGATTATCATTAATGACTTTAACTAGTGCTGTTTCTGTGCTATGATAAGCTCTAAACCCTGACTGAAACTCTTCAAACAGATTATTTCTTCGTTGATGTTCACGCAACTGACCTGCAACTATTTTCTCTAGAATATTTTAGATGAAAGTTAGATTAGATATAGGTCTATAGTTGGCCAGAATTTCTCAATCAAGGTTAGAGAATATGGCACTGACTGAATGACTGGAGGGAGCTTAAGTAGGGAGGTGAACAGGTGGAGAGCATGACCAGTGATTGCAGAGTGAGGCATGATGCAGAGTGGAGTTAATTGGATGGCAGGAGCTGAATGGACTGAGGTGAGCACAAAACATGAAAACAGAAGGCAGAGGAGTAAAAAGGGGTCAAAAACACAACAATTTCATAAGTTTTCTAAACAGAAGAAAATTGAGACAAACATGTTGCTGTCAAAGGTTTTCAACAACAACAGCAGAACCCGAAGTCTGACTGAACTGTTTTATTTGTCTGTCAGGTCGGAGGTGGCCATTCTGTACAATGACAGGTCAGTGCTGGAAAACCATCATGTCAGCGCCGCCTACAAGTTGATGGCAGAAGAAGACATGAACATCCTGGTCAACCTGAACAAAGATGACTGGAGGTTTGGCCTCACACATGTTTGCACAATTCCCTTTGTGATGACCTACAACACATGAATAGCTCAATGGTTAAATGGTCACATACAACCCTTAAAAAACAAGTGATGAACCAGTTTGTTATATGGACCAATAATCAATTTTTATTCAACAGATTAAAGACCTCAATCAAACCAAAACAATTAACAAACAAGACCAGCCAGACCTAAGCTGCAATACCATGGTAATCAGGACTAGTACTTCTAACTGATTCAAGCGAGTAAACAATGAAATGATTTGGATGGTTTGGTCTTTTATGAGTTCTGGGCTACAAGAATCCAGAGCAAATTCAGCTGAGTGGGCGTGGTTACATGAGCAGACTGAGGTGCAGGTTGACAGGAGTTGAGATGAAAACAAACTAACATGAACTGGAACTATGGCAGGCAGAGCAGAAAACGTGTCGACGTTGTTTCACGGAGATTGGATCTGCAGCAGGCAACACGTCTAACTTGTTAACGCACTTGAAACGACATAATCCGAATGTGAACATCTCTTCTACAAGGAAGAAGGGCAGCTTTGGTGCAAAGACAGATAACAGCAGCATTTAAACAACCTTTATCAGGTAATTCAGAGTGGTCCAAAGCAATCCCACAAGGTGTACAAGTTTTTAAAACTCTGGATCTACGTCCATATTTCTGTTGTTGATGCGCCGGCGTTAAAGTTATTGAACCCCGCTACGACATCCCATCACGTCAACACTTCAGCCTAAAAGTTGTAGCAACACTTCATGAAAAAGCTAAAACTGATATTGCCAACAAACCCTGGATCCCAGATTTGAAGCCCTGACCTGATGATGATCAGCGAGAGAGAATATTCAACAGAAATTATGGCTGTGCAAGAAGAGGTATTGTTATTGTATTATTGTGATCTAATTAACTTTTTAAATTTAAAATTATAATCTTATTAACTCCACTTTTTATCTCTTTGTGCTGTTTGCAGTTTGAGGATGTCATCGAGATAGAGCTGAGTCTTCTTTATCCACCAGATCACCTCCAGCTAAGTCTGTAATGAATGAACTTGTTTACTTGGCATATTTTCAAAATAAACATTTTGAAAGTCTTTATTTTGGCCTTTTTTGTACCAAAAATTAACCAAACCGAGAATCAAATCAGAAGCATTTGTAATGTGTAGGGTGGTTGTGGTGGGGGTCTGGGGATTCTCCCCCAGAAAATTTTGAATAAATTAAGATGCCATTTCCTGCATTCTGGTGTATTTTAATGGGTTATTAAACATCTATGTTTATCCACATAAGTGAACACTTGGTTCAATTCTTTAGAGAGCAACAATAAGTAGTCTGACCAACAGCTCTCCTTGTGTGAATAGAGCTTCTTTCAAGCATCCTAACACACACCCACCTCGTGTCAGAAACTGCTAGAACTAATATAGCACTAACCAAGCAGGGAGCAATACAGACGCATTAGCAAAGATGCTACAGACGTAGCGCTCTGCTTCTCTCACACATCCCCCCCCCCCCCCGCCAACAATAGCCAGCACTACCATAGCACTAAAGGTGCATTCACACCATTTTAATCAAACTCTAGTCTGTTTGCCTAGAAAGTCCGGTTCGTCTGGGGAGGTATGAATACGCAATCAAACTCTGATGTGGACCAAAAAAGCAAACTCTGGTCCACCTAAAATCCAAGGACTTGGTTTGGATGAAGTGAACTCTAGCACAGTTTGAATGCGTTGTGAATGCAAGAGGACCGGAGACTGCTCCAAAATCAGGAAGTGGACTACAGCGCAGGTCATACTGTGTAAATACAACCAAAACAAACATTGGTTACGTCCTGTAATCCCAGATTCTATTAGTATAGGTGCAGCCCTTTAAGGCTATCGCTAGTGGGTTTATCCCTACGCGCGCAACGCAGCACTGAAAATTTTAGTCCACACCCACCTACTGTGTGGGCCTCACCCCCAGTCCGTATAAATTACGGTGAGACCGGGTAATCGAATCCAAAATAGCTTTTTTCTTCAACCATTTAGGAACCAGTGAGGCCCAGAGCTTAAAGGGCTGCACCTATACTCATAGAATCTGGGGTTACAGTATGTAACCAACATTCTATTTCGTATAGGCTTTGCCCTTTAAGGCTTTCGCTAGTGGGTTAAAGGCGAAGCAGGATGTAGTCTATGCCTCACTGGGTCCACTCAGACACAACATGAAGCACCTGCTTGCACAAAAGAAACATTTCATCACTCAGCTTTCTGTGTGCGTAACTACGCGCTGCATAATTGCGTGCTCCATGTGCAGGAGCGCACTGGAGAAGATCTCTGGTGAGGAAACAAAAAAAGGCTGAGATAGCAGACCTGCTGCTGTGAATAGGAACAATGGAGAATACTAATTTTAACAGTGTAACGATAAACAGAGCAGACCAACAGCTCCTCAGGATGAACCGATTAATAACGATAAAATCAGCAGTCATGAACTTGTGACTGATAATGAATATCTCACACTGCGACTGCATGCAGGCAGGTGTGAGCTCAAAAGTGAGGCTCCATGAAACAAACAATAATTATTCTGTCAGAACCCTGAGAACAGAATGGATCATGGAGAAAGTAGAAACATCACATAGATAAAAATGAATAATTGAACATGGCGATGACCAGGCAACCGCCATACAAATATTCTCCACAGTCATCCCTCCATGCAGAGCCATGGAGGATGAAAACCCTCTGGTGGAATGCACTGAGATTCTCTGGAGGATCCAGTTCAGATGAACTGTAAGCTTCAGAAATAACCTTACAAACCAGTGTGAGAGACGCTGGGTGGATAGAGGATGTCCTGAAGAGCTGTCCCAGTAATGCACGAACATACGCTAAAAGCGGCGCAGTGCGGCCGTGTGTGCCACGTAACATGAAAAATGCGTGCATGGGACAGAAGGAGGTGAGATGTTGCTTCCTCCTCAGAATTATGAGGAAGAGGACAAAACCCATCCAAGGTTATCACTCTCGATCTGAATGAGCTTGAGATGCTTTTCAGAGCAGGGTTAAAACGCAGTACAGCTGAACTGCCGCCAGCTTGAATTCTGAGACATGAGGGAGCAACAGAGAGAGCAGACAATCACTCACTCTCTTTGCCGACGTCAGAGCTAACAGCAGGGCTATTTTAAATTACAGAAATTTAAGTAAAACCTGATCTAAAGGCTCAGAAGGAGCTTTGATCAGAGCGTGCAAGACCATCATTAGGTCTCACTGTGGAGCTAGTGGACGTGACACCGGTCTGTGTCTCCATACACCTTTCAGGAAACACTTCATCAACGGGTGATTAAGAACTGTTCTGTCACCGAAGCCCTTGTGACAGGAAGAAATAGCTGCAGCATAAGTTTTAATTGTGCTGAACACTTGATCTATGTCTATCAGCTGCAGCAGAAAGGACAGCATGCCACATAGTGGCCATGAGATGGCCTCCACGCCTTTCTCTGTGTACCATCACTGAAAAAACTGTCCACTTGATGTGTACAGCGTTGTGGTGGAAGCAGCTTGTGTGCCCTGAACGTACGCACCACATCCTGTGGGAGGCCCGTCTTTTCTAAATGGATCTGTTCAGCGGACAGACCCAAAGATGCTGACCTATTTCTGGGTAACTCCTGATCGCTCTTCCTACCTGGAGGAGAGCACACATACCCCCCCCCCCCCCCCCCCCCCAGCAGTTTCCACGGCCGACCCCATATCAGTCGCTGCAGATTCGGGAACCACGGCGCGCATATGCGTTCGGGAGCTACGAGGATGACTGACGGTTCTTCCTCCCGGACCCGGTCCAGGGTCCGTGATATTGGCAGGACTGGAAGGAACGCATAAAGAAGCATTTTTGGCCATGGGCTGTGAGCAAAGGCGTCCACTCCTAACGGTGGGTCATCTTGAGAACCCTAATTGACACTGGGCGTTCTCCCATGTGGCGGACAGATCCACTGCTGTTCGGCAAAACCTGCTCCAAATCCAAGAAATCAGTTCGGGATGGAGACTCCAGTCTCTGTGGCAGGGATCGCCCTTCGACATGATATCCACTTGCCTGATCAGGATGCTGGGAATGTACACTGCTCTGATGGAGAGCAGGTTTTTGTGTGCCCAACACAACAGCTGTTTTGCGATGCGTAACAGTTGGGCTGAGGGCACGTCTCCCTGACGGTTTATGTAAGCTGCCGTCATTTTGTTGTCTGTGTGGATCAGAGAACGCTGATCCCGCAGCAGGGGCAAAATGCTGAGTCACGTTTCAGACCGTGAAAACATTCTAGCACATTTATGTGAAGCGGCATGTTGTCCAGCCACTGTGCTCCCACTGCTTGGGACAGACACATTCTTCCCAGCTTGACAGGAATGCCTGTGAAAACAGAGACATGTTACGTAGGCCTGCTGATGGGAACTCCCTCTGACAGAATGAGAGGTTTTCCCCAGTGATTCAGATCGGTTCTGACGGAGGGGGACACAAAGATAATCTGCCTCTTCTGGCGCACAGGATCTATACGCTGGCGGGCAAACCATCTCTGACGGCGGAGCTGGGTTTGACACGGCAGAGCTGAGTTGATAGAGCTTCGGATCTCAGCTGTGATAAATGGGCTCTCATTGTAGTTGAGTTTAGCTCCACTTCCAGATAAACAATCATCTGGGATGGACAAACGGAAGTTTTTCCCAGTTTATAGAAACCCCAGGTTTAGCAGGTTTAACACTAGAGTTTTGGTCTGTGTGACAGCTTTCTAACTGGACTGAGCTAATAAGAGCCGATCGTCCAGATAAAAAGAATTCTCATTCCTGCCATGTGTAATGATTGCAGAGCCATCTCCATGCATTTTGAGAATGTGCGTGAGGTGTTTCAGAATGATGGAAATGTTTTTTTTTTTTTTCCCCACCCACAGCCCCCCACAGCCCAGAACCCCAGCCAAGCACCAGACCGCAGCCACAGCCCGGCAGGGAGACACCCCCCCGCGGTGCCCCCCCCCCCCCCCCCCCCCACGGCAGAGTCCCCAAAGTCCACCAGTGCACCAAGGGACCCCAGTTCAGGGCCGGGCGTCGGCGCATGCACCGGCCCAAGACCTGGACAACAAAAAAAATAAAAAAAATAAAAAAAGAATGATGGAAATGTGAAAATATGCGTTCTTCAAATCTATGGAGGTGAAAACCAGTCATTCTGGTGAAGTTCTCCAGCAGGTATTTGTCAGCATGTGGAATTGTCTCCCCATGATCAAATTGCTGAACATGAACAGGTTGAGAATGGGTCTCATCCCTCCGGTCTTTTATCAGAACCAGGAAGTAGTGGGAGGAGAAAAAAAAAAAAGTATTTTCCTCTCAGTTGGGAATTCTGGAAATCACGTTTTTCATCAGAAATTCCTGAACTTCTGACTGGAGAGGCGAGTTATATTCTGGAGAAGACAGAACCATCTCTATAATCCCTCTGAACGGTGAGGATTGAGCTGCAAACTGCAGCGTGTAACACCTGCTGATCAGATGGTCCATCCATCTGTCCAGGGAACACACTCGCTGCCACTCTGAGTTATGCTCAGAGAGGGGGCACGCATTTACAAAGTATGTTGTGTCATCAAAAAAGGTTGAATCATGTCATCTGGACTTATATAACAACCTATATACCTGGATGACTGAGAAAACAAACTTTGTGTTTTTGAAACCATTAGTGAAAAGGCCAGACTTCAGGGGTATCTGAGGCAGGCTTGAAACACAAGAGTCAGGGTGGCTTCTGGGTAATACCAGATGGCTAGGCCTCAGACTGACGAAGCCTCTTGGATGAGGGGCGAAACGTTTCTTTTTAACAAAAAAACGAAGTCCAGATGACATGATTCAACCTTTTTTGTTGTTATATACCTGGATGACTGAGAAAACAAACTTTGTATGTTGTGTCATGTTTCTCATGAACGTCAACCAGCCTAAAAATCCTTACTGCTATCACTCGCTCCGGAGATTCTCCAGGGGGAACCCAAGGTGGGCTCTGACAGAAAAAAGGGCTGTATGTGTGCCTTTGTGCTAAGCCCAGGCTGCAGTGTCACATAAAGCTGAGGTGAGCCAGCGCGCACTGAGAGGAGGCCTGAGCACTTTCTGAGTAAGATGCCGTTTCGGTGGAGGCTGCAGTTGTCATGGAGAAACATGTTTACTCCCTCTGCGCTGTGAGTGGATAGAAAAAACAGCAGAAATTAAAAACGGGCTCTGGCTGAAAAACGAGGGATTTTACCGGACTCTGTCTACTGAAAAAACATAATTTTAGCTGACGTGGCAGACAAGTGTTTTGTGATATCTACTGAACTGCGGTGCCATATAAAACACTGTTTAGAGGTTACTGGCTCGTTCTGTGTGGGTAATGTGTGAAGAGAGGTAGCTGTGAGATCAGCTGATCTGATAGTCTCAGATGAAAACTTTACTTTCAGAGATGTTTCTGTTTTATATCAAAAACATACATCATCAAAAAACACATACCTTCCCCTCAAGGATCTGTTACCTGGTGGAGAGGGCCGGCGGAGGAGCAGGTTGTGAAGTCGCTGCCGCAGCTGTGAAGCTCCTCTGCTGCTGTTGCTGGCCAAGGTGGTCCCTCCAGTGGCCAGGCGGAGGACTGTGACATCACCAGATGATGTACAGTCTCTGAGACCTCCTCGGACCTCTGCGATTTCTCAAGGATGGTCCTGAAGTTGGCCCCGAGCAGCGCCTCTGGGGTGATGGGGCCCTCCAGCAGGTCTTTTTGCAGTCTTTCGGACAAGAATGGCGAGAGGCAGAGCCAAGTGGTCCTCTGGATCATGGTCCTCTGGATCATGGTCCTCTGGATCATGGTCATCCAGGCGACGATTCAGGGCAGGCAGACCGCAGAGGTGGCACATGTTTAAGATGACATCAGCAGCGTTACAGAGAGAGCTCTTTGTCTCCTCCAACAGGTCTGCTTCCTCCAGCTTCTTAGAGATGCTGTAGGCCAGCAGGGCAACGTTGTTCACTGTGGCCATCTGGAATGTCCACTGGTGAGCTCGGTTGGAGACCTCATCACCATCTGGTCATGCTTCCCTGGAGGGACAGGTTGCTGGTCCATCCTGGAAGCTTTTGCCCCAAGTGCCACCACCAGGCTTGGCTCCAAGGGGAGGACTGAGGGAAAAACATTGATCGGTAAAACCCTCCACTCTGGAGATGGAGGCGAAGGTGGAGACGGATGTCTTCAGCTTGCCGGGCCCAGCTGCAGCCTCGTTCCAGTGTGATGTCACAGCTGGACAGCCAGGCCAGATGGGGTCAGGGCAACGAGCCGGGGCGGAGCCAACCTTGCCGCCAGATCATCCGATCAGAGCGGAGGGAGGCGAGGGACAGAAAGTCCCTTGTATTATCCTCCTGGATTATGCCGGGCAACTCCAAGAGGAGGGTGCCGACGGCTGGGAGCGGTGTGGTTGCTGACATGGGAAGATCCGAGGTGGCTGAGCATCCGCTCTGCCGCTCATCTTCCGTCACTACGCTCTCCAGGAGGGAGGGGGCAGCTCTACATCACCTTTCTCGGAGGAATCATTTGATTCACTGTGTGACTCTGCGTCAAAGAAGGTGGTGGCGTCGTCTCGCACATAGCGTCCCGCCACAGAAAAAAACACTCAGCGGAGCTGCTGTCAACAACGCCTTTTTTGAGGGAATCATCCGATTCACCGCAAGGAAAAAAACATTAGAAACGGCGATGGCGTCGTCCAGCAGGTAGTGGCCCACCACGGAAAAGCACTCCTCGGCGCTTACCTTGAACAAGGCTGCTCGTCTGCTTCTCCTCAGGGAGGAAGAGCTCACTAGGACGGCAGGAGGTTGGCGTGGCGGAGATCCAGGCATCCTTAGTAAAGGTTGTTCCGGTCAAAGCTGGACAATGTTTGTTTGGCACATGTGCCACAGACAAAACAGAAATCCTAAAACCACTAAAATTTGACGCCACTCCATTCTTGGTTTTATTTCCAGAAGTAAGTTGCACTCAGTGTTTTCTTCAGAGGTTTTGGTGTTGTTTCCTTCAGTAGTTCTTGGTGCAGCACCACCAGAGGTGAGGGGGGAACAGGTTGGCTTGACTGACTCAGTGCAGTGTGAATGCGAACTGCATCAGCTGAAAATGTAAACAAATGTTTCGAATTTTGGTCCCCAATCAAACCGAGTCTACCTGACTATCAGGTGTGAAAACGACCTAAGCTAGCACGCAAAACAGAGGTGTCTCCCCTTCCTCCCCCCATGAGTGCCCTGCCAAGGCAGATGACCTTGGGGAAACACTGCATGCATGTGGAGTTGTTGTAGGTAACCAGGAAAACCCAGAGTGGATTTTTAATGGTTTGTGAATTCTCCCATTAAAGAAGTGGAATGGATTTGTTCATGAAGAAAAAGGAACAGCGCTGGGAGAACTAATATTTCATTTTAAATGTGTGTGTGTGTGTGTGTGTGTGTGTGTGTGTGTGTGGGGGGGGGGGGGGTGTCAGAATGAATGTTTGTTTTTGTTTGTTTTTTTATTGTGGGGGGAGGACATGTCCCCTTCACATATAATTGTTGCGACGCCTATGCTTCACAAACACAAAGACGCAGACATGTTGTGTCTCTTTCATGTCAAAGGGTAGGATTTAGACAAAAAAAACTTTAAAAACAAGTCTCAGTCCACTGAATGTTTCTTTGGATGCTGCTTCAAAAGGAAACATACTTTACTTTAAATGTTTTAAAGTCATCTTTAGCTGTTTAAAAGTCTTTTGGTTTGTGTTTTTTTGTTTTTAACTCATCTCCATCCCGTTCTTTAAGTGAGTATTTGGTATATTTTATCATGGTGTGCAATGTGTCCAAAATAAATCACACTCTTCCAAAGGAAAGATAACTTCAGGACAAATGAAGTTCTAAAAACCGTCCAACAGATAGCATCTAAAATTCATGCTGCTTTTTGGCTAAGATAATTTTGTAAACTTGTTTTTGTGGATACAACCGAGGTCTGGCAACAAGTTATGTTTCTGCAACAAGCTGCCAGTCTCATAGATCCCAGACTTTCAATTTAAAATGGGTTATTTCATTAACTATTTGTGATGTGCAGACACAACCCTGATTAACAGTTTACGTTTTTAGAAAGAAAAAAATAAATAA